TACGCAACACGCAACACGTCGCCTTTGGATACGGAGCTCAACACGTGGACTGACAGCGTATGTATGACGCGATAAGTTCGCCAACACGTGGGCCAACAATGCTACGCTGAGCCAACACAAACCGCAATGTATTGGCACGGACGTCTTGAACACGGCACATGCTGCGTGTCAAGACGGGCGCATCGGGGCAGCCAAGACAATGGTCCTGGCCATCACCCTTCACTTGGACGCCCCCGATCCTCCTCCGCCGACCATGACGGCAGCGCGCGACACATTCGGGCGGGCGCGGCCTTGGTCTTCGCGGCGGCCTTGAACGTCTTCTTCGCCCACTTGTTCGCGCGCATGTCCAGGAGGTCCTGTGCGCGCACGAACTGGAGTTCAACATCCCCAGCGAGGACCTACAGTAGGGGCTCTACCACAAGACACCTTCCACAAGAAACCCATCCCCGAGACTCCAGGACATCCACCTGATTCTTGGCGTGGGAACGTCACCCTGTCCATGGCGAAACCATCGAAACCCAAGAAACCCAGGGCACCCTGGAGGCAAGCAGGGTGTTTCTTGGCATGGGTCTCCACTGTACTGCTGATCCTTGCGCTGTTCCTCAAGCTCGGCCTGCTGGGGCTGGTGTCCGGCCCAAGGGCCCCTGAAAGTGGATCCTGGGCCCCCAAGACGAAGGGGCCCAGGGACACAAAAACAAACACGCACACAAAAATCCCGGGATTCCCCATACCTTTCCATGTGTTTCGGACTGTCGTCTTCCCAGATGTTCGGGGGAATCGGCGATCCATGGTGTCTGTGTCCCTCTCGTCGTGCCATTTTTTGCGCGGTGACCCTGGTGTTTACCTTGGTCAAGGTGCCAGCATCCCCCTCCGCTGCTGGCTCGTTTCCTTGGTCAGTCCAAGGTTTTGGAGGCGTGGCGTTGATGTCAAAAAATGGTGTCTGTGCGTTTTGTTCCCCCTCTCTGACAAAGAGTTTCTCACCCCCCCCCCCCTCCCCCCCACGGGAAGGAGAATCGAGGCCTCGGGCCGCGGACGACGGAAACAGAAGCAGGCACACGACACGCCGTCGGAGGGCTGGGGCAGGAGGGACGAGCCCAGAGCAGGACGGAGCCAGGACGAGGAAACTCGCCGGCCCAACGGGCCAGAGGCGTGCTAAGATCTCCGGTAACTTGTTAACAATATTTCTAGTTCGCGCGCGCGGAGCGGCCCCTGGGGGCCCCCGGACGAAACGTACCCCGGCAAGGTCCCGAGAGAAGCCCGGGAGAAGCCACCAGACCACTCCAGGGGAGGGTATTTTTCGACACCCCTCACGAGGATCGTGGCCTCCGAGGGGGGAGCCGCAATCGACTACCCCCAAGAGCCCCCCAAGAGGCCCTGGGGGCCTCCAAAACGCCGCCAAGGAGCCCCAAGAGACTCCCAAGAGGCCCCCAAGAGGCCCTAAAGAGGGCTCCAGGGCCGGCGGCATGAGCGAAGCGATTAAATAAAGTCCGACGAAACCAGGGCGAAGATACCATCGGGGGATAGATCGGGCCGCGGGCTGGAACAAAAGCACACGCACACCGTCGGAGGACTGGGGCAGGAGGGAGAGGGGGACTCGTGGGGCCTAAACCACGACGGAGCCAGGACGAGGACAGAAAGTCTGACGAAGCCGGGACGAGGATACCGTCGGGGGACGGATCGGGGGAGGGAAGATCGAGAAGCTCTGAGAGCCGGCGGCTCTGGAGGGTGTCTCGGGCGCCGCGGCCCTCTCAGAGCGTTCCGGAACGCTCTGGGAGCGTTCCGGAACGCTCTGGAACGGATAGGTCCTCGTCCGAGCCTTAGGTCTGGCGTCGGGCATGCTCTCCTGCAGGCGGGTTTGAAGAAACATCGAACAGATCCAAGCACACAAAAAAACAAGAATAGCCAAAAGATCATAGAAGAACCGTTCCCAGACTATCTTTTGACTTTTTTCGATGATCGGGGATGGACAGACCCCCCTTTAGCAAAACGTGGTTTAGTGAAAACGACCTGAGGCCCAAACCTGGCAGACGTAAGCCTGGAAAATGACGGCCACGGCGCCCTCTCGAGAACCGAAAACGGACAATTCACTAATCGACGTGTCACTGTTGGGAGTTCTGTCCAGCCCCGACTGTGGGGGGACATCCCCGACTTCATCCTAGCCACGTCCGGCAGAACCCGGATAGCGGAGCGCTGGACAGGGCCTTCCACGCCTCTCGGAGGAGCTCGGGGGGGCTCGTGTTTAAGAAGCTTCCGGAGGAGCTTCTGGAGAACTTCAGGGCACACGCAGTTGGGACATATCTTTAAACCTCCTTCCTGTAGAGGAAAAAGAACTATGCACATGCACCGATTCTGGCCAGACCCATCCTGAGCCCATGATCGGTGCATACGCCCTCCTGCCTTGGCCAGGAAGGCATATGCACCGATCCTGGGTCAAGGATGGGCCTTGCCAGGATCGGTGCATGTGCATAGTTCTCTTCGCCCGATCCTGGACCCGCTGAAATAGGGGACCACATGCGAACACTACCCCTAACCCCCTCGGTTCCTGAGGGGGAGGGTAGGGTTCACTCCGCTCGGGAGCTTCCGAACGAAGCAAGCCCCACCCTCCCCTTCAGAAATCGTGGGGGGTAAAGGGGTAGGGTTCGGATGTGGCCTCCTATGAACGCTCCAGCAACTAGAAGCGGGGATTCCTGCTGGGAGCCCGGACGAGCTCAGGGGCTACCCTGCGGTGCTGGCTTCTGATCTAAACAACCCTCTCAGCCCTCTGAGAGCTATCCGGGAACAAGGGGTTGTTGGAAACGGTCCCAAGGCCAAGCAGTCCGTGATGTCAGCCGAAGCAGCCCATCGGGCGGCGATGGCGACGACGGCAACGGCGAAGACGACGAAGACGACGACGACGACGCTCACGCTGACGAGGACGACGAGGACGACGAAGAGGCGGGGGAGCAACCTCGAAAAGGAGTGGGGACGGGCCGAAAGTTAGGTCGGGCATGTACTCCTCCAGGTGGATTTTGGAAGAGAAATGGAAGAATGGTCAAACCAGATCTGTTCAAGAATAAATGCAAATAGTCGACAGATCGACCCCGGACTAGTTTTGGTCTGCTCCTCCTGTGGAGGGACGTGCCCGACTTAAGCCTAAAGGCCAAGCAGTCCGCGATGTCAGCCGGGGTCCTCTCAAGGGGCCCCAGAACACACAAACAGATGCACACGAATAAACAGATTCCCCATCTTTTCCTAGATCTCCAGGGTTTCTGTCTTCCCCCCACTTCCCATATTTTCGCATACTCTCCTGGGGATCGACGATTCATTGCGTCTGTATGTTTTTTCCCCTCCTGGTCCTCGGCGCGCCGAGTCGGACGCGCCTCCCTCGCAGGACAGGAGGAGGAGGAGGAGGAGGAGGAGGAGGAGGAGGAGGAGGAGGAGGAGGAGGAGAGGAGGAGAGGAGGAGGAGGAGGAAGGAAGGAGAGGAGGAGGAGGAGGAGGAGGAGGAGTGAGGAGGAGGAGGAGGAGGAGGAGGAGGATTTTGAGGAGGAGGAGGGGAGGAGGAGGAGTGAGGAGGAGTGAGGAGGAGGAGGAGGAGGAGGGAGGGGAGGAGGGGGAGGAGTGAGGAGGAGGATGAGGAGGAGGCGGAGGAGGAGGAGGAGGCGGCGGCTCTGGGTAGCCGGCCTCTCCCTCGAGCCCTGGCGCTCGAGGCGAGGCTGCGGCCCCCCGCCCCCCCCCCCCCAGGCGGGACATCGGACGTCTGAGGCAGCCGGGGCTCGAGGCGAGGCCTGCACGACCCCACAGCAGAGAGGGGGGGGGGGGGGGGGGAGGGGGAGGGAAGGGGGAGGGAGGAGGGGAGGGAGGAGGGAGAGGGAGGAGAGGGTCAGAGGGAGAGGGAGAGGGAGGAGGGAGAGGGAGGAGGGAGGAGGAGGAGGGAGGGGAGAGGGGGAGGGAGGGAGGAGGGGGAGGGAGGGGAGAGGGAAGGGGAGAGGGAGAGGGAGGAGGGGGAGTGGGAGGGAGAGGAGGAGGGAGAGGGAGGAGGGAGGAGAGGAGGGAGAGGGACCCCGCGAAAGGGGGGGGGAGGGGGGCAAGGGGAGGGAGGAGGGGACGGGCACTCCTCGGGCCCCCCCTCCTCTCACACTGCCTGGCTGGCGCACACTCTGTGCCCCGGGGGGCCCTCTTCTTGTCCTGTGCTCACCGCCCGTCCGTTTCTGGGGCTGCGCCAGCCAGGCTTCCTTTGTCTCTCACTCCGCCTACGTCGGCGCCCCTTTCGCTGCATCGTAACGCTTCAGGCCCTGACCTTGACTTGGCGCAGCGCTCCAAGCGTGCACTCGTCGGAGGTCTAGGGCAGGAGGGAGGCCCCGACCCCCGACGCCGTGCCTGTCTCACAGCGTCCACACCCCGAGGTCTGGGCCCCTTCCCCGGGACCCGGTCTTCCATCCCGAGTCGCTCTTCGACGGCCCTGCTGCCTGGCTCGGGTGCTGCTAGAGAAGTGCCCCTGGCCCAGGGTGCCCCCAGGATCTCCAAGGAGGCCCCCACGGCCTCCCTGGAAATCATGGGGGGCCGGAGGGGGGGAGAAGGGGGGGGGACGCGAGGGGAGCGCGCGCGCGGGGAAGGGGAGGGGGGGAGGGGACGCGAGGGGGGAAGATGGGGGACGCGAGGGTGAGGGAAGGGGAGGGGGATGGGGGGGGGGAGGGGGAGGGGACGCGAGGGGGAGGATGGGGGAGGGGACGCGATGGGGGAGGAGGGGGACAGAAAACGCGAGGGGAAGCGCGCGCGCGCGCGGGGAAGGGGAGGAGGGGGGACGCGAGGGCCCCCGAGCCCCTCGCGCGGTGCACAGCACCCGCGGCGGGAGGCCCTTCGCTCTCTCTGCTCCGCCGCACGGAAAGGGGTGCCCCTCTCCCGGGGCCGCCGACGACGCGGCTCGGGGCGAAAAGCCGACCGCCGGGGGAAGGGGGTCCGGACCTCTGGCCAGGCCAGGCGGGCAGGCAGGCAGGCCGGTCGAGTCGCTGCTCGGCCCGGGGTCGGACGCGACCGTGATGGACCTCGGGGCATCACTGCTGGTGGTCGAGTGGGTGAACGCACGAAGTCGTCTTCGCGCTGAAGAGCAAGCATTGTGCAATGACGCCGCTGGCCAGTCTGACCCATAGAAATCGTACGACTGTCTGCGCAAATAATCTCTGGCCAGGGGTCTGGCCTTTTTCGCAGCGTCGACCCCCGTGGGTCGACGCTGTGAACAACCACGACGTCGGGGGTCTGGGGGGGGACCAAAGACCGTCCCCTGTTGTAGGGCCCCTGGAGGTTTCGAGGAGGAGGAGGAGGAGGAGGAGGAGGAGGGAGGAGGAGGAGGAGGAGGGGAGGAGGAGGAGGAGGAGGAGGAGGAGGAGGAGGCGGAGGAGGAGGAGGAGCCATCAGGAGACGGAAGAGGAGGAGAAGGGAGGAGGAGGAGGAGGAAAAGAAGGAGGAGGAGGAGGAGGAAGAGGAGGAGGGAGGAAGGAAGAACATCGCATCCGATGCTCAGCACTCCCCTGGCGTGGTGTTCGGCTGCCCTCCCCCTGTCGTGCAGTGAGGGGGGTGCCCTCAGGAGAGTGCCTCCCGGCGTGCCCGGGTCGCGCCTCCTCCGGAGGCATCCCGTGCCTGTCCGCACCGAGCGCTCGGCCGCTCGGCCCCGGCGGCCCGGGGAGAGAGAGGCGGGAGCTCGAAGGGGGGGGGAGGAGGCGGAGCGCGGAGGAGGGCGGGCGGCGGCGGAGCGCGGCGAGGAGGGGGGGGACGGGGGCAGGAGCGGCGGCGAGCGAGGGGGGGAGAGGAGGGGGGAGGAGGAGGAGGAGAGGAGGAGGAGGAGGGAGGAGGAGAGAGGAGGAGGAGGAGGAGGCGAGGAGGAGGAGGAGGAGGAGGAGCGAAGGGAAGGAGGGGGGAGGGGGAGGAGGAGGAGCGAAGGGAGGAGAAGGCCTCCTCGGAAGGTGGCGGGACTTCTCAGAAGCCCTCCGGCCCTCGGAGAAAAACTTGTGGTGTCTTCGGGGAAGGCTTGGTCTCGGAAGGACCGGGGGGCTTCCGAACCTTCTGAGAAGGCCTTCTCCTTCTCGATTCCCCCCCTCGCCCGCTGCCGACAGGAGAAGAGGAAGAGGGGAGGGAATGAGGCGCGCGGTGCGCAGGAGAACGCTGCCTAAGACAGCGCCGCGCCAAGATTGCGCAGCGGGAGCGGAGGGGAGGTAGGGGGGTAGGGAGGCGGGACCGGTGAGGTAGGGCAGGTAGGGACCGGGCAGGGGGAAAAGTTCGGGCCACGAAGAAGGAGGTCGGCGGGAGAACGAATGGGGGAGGACGAACGTGGGAGGATCAAACAGAAAGGCGGGCAGAAGGAGAAGGTGAGAGCGAGGGAGCAAAGAGGTCCTGGATCTGGAACTGGATGCGCTTACTGAGAATGTCTTTTCCAGCCTTGTTCTTCTGACCTTTCAGGTCTTTCAGCCTCCCACGCCCAGGGTTGCAGCACCGTCGCCCAGCCTGGATGGCATCGCTGTCTCCCGCGTCCTCAACGAGGCGCGCCCGCCCTCCAACGACCCGAGCCCCGATCCGCATGCTCCGCCAAGGTCGAGCCCCGCGTCACCCCATGGCGTGGCGTTCCCATCTCGTTCCGCACCATCTCGTTCCGCGAGCCCTGCTTGCAGCAATCCGCACCATCTCGTTCTCACCATCTCGTGGCGTTGAGTCCCTGTTTGGAAGAGGCAGCACCCCGCGTCCCCTCCTTCCTCCCCCTCCTCCTCCCACCCTTGCATCTGCCCTCAGCATGTCCACCACTGCAGCGAACCCAGTGATTACGGCGTTTCGTGGCCCCACAGGGCGCTCCACCGAAAGCCCCAATGGCTGTGATCACCTGCGTCCTGCGCCACCCAGCACGGCGCTTCGTGACCGCATAGGGAACTGCACCGAAGGCCCCACTGGCTGTGATCACATGCGTCCCGCGCCACCCAGCACGGCGCTTCGTCACAGGGAGCTCCACTGGAAGCCCCAATGGCTTTGATCACGTGCGTCCCGCGCCACGCAGCACGGCGCTTCGTGGCCCCACATTGCGCTGCACCGAAAGCCCCAATGGCTGGGATCACACGCGTCCCGCGAAACCCGGCACGGCGCTTCGTGGCCCCACAGGGAGCTCCACGGAATGCCCCAGTGGCTGTGATCGCATGTGTACCGCGCCACCCAGTACAGCGTTTCGTGGTCCCACAGGGAGCTCCACCGAAAGCCCTGGTGGCTGTGACCACATGCGTCCCGCGCCACCCAGCACGGCGTTGCGTGGCCCCAAAGGGCGCTCCAACGAAGATTCCAGTGGCTGTGACCACATGCGTACCGCGCCACCCAGAACGGCGCTTCGTGGCCCCATAAGGAGCTCCACCGAAGGCCGCAGCGGTTGTGACCGCGTGCGTCCCGCGCCACGCAGTACGGCGCTTCGTCGCCCCATAGGGAGCCCCATCGAAGGCCCTGTGGCTGTGATCACACGCGTCCCGCGCCACCCACCGCGGCGCTTCGTGGACGCATAGGAGGCTCCACCGAAAGCGCCAGTGGCTGCGATCACATGCATCCCGCGCCACCCAGCACGGCGCTTCGTGGCCCCAAAGGGCGCTCCACTGAAAGCCTCAATGGCTGTGAGCACACGTGTCCCGCGCCACCCAGTACAGCGTTTCGTGGCCCATAGGGAGCCCCACCGAATGCACCACTGGCTGTGATCACATGCATCCGCGCAACCCAGTACAGCGCACCGTGGCCTCATGAGGAGCTCCACCGAAGGCCTCACTGACTGTGATCACATGCGTCTCCCCCCGCCCATTTCGGCCCACCCCTCACGTGTTGCGAGGCCTCATAGAGAGCTCCGCCGAAGGCGCCAGTGGCGACGGTCGCATGCGTCCCCCCGACCACTTCGGCACACCCCTCACACGCTTCGTGGTCCCATAGGGAGCTCTACCGAAGGCCCCAGTGGCGACGTTCGCATGGCGGCCCCGCTCCATTTCGGCACACCCCTCACACGTTTCGTGGCCCCGATGGAGCGCCACCGAAGGCCGCAATGGCAGCGCCCGCATGCGCCCGCCGCACACTCTTCGGCGCACCGTTTGCACGCTCTGTGGCCACGGAAGAAGTTCCACCGAAGGCGATGCCCACAACGGCGATACTCACAACTGTGTGTGGTTGGGCCCTCGCCAGGGTAAATTGCTCTCTGTCTGTCTGTCTGTCTGTCTCTCTCTCTCTCTCTCTCTCTCTATATATATATATATATATATATATATGTCTCTCTCTCTTTCTCTCTCTCTCTCTGTCGGTTCCTGACCTCGGTTCTCACATCTCTCTCTACCTCTGCGATCCTTCTCACATTTCTGGAGGGAGATTGGGGAGGTCTTCACAAAGGAGAAGTGGCAAATGGCGAGCTGGTAGCCATATCTCCCCTCCTGCTGCACACTTGCACTAGTGTCGACTGGAACTTCGAGGTTTCCAGCGTGTATCCGATCGAGGAGATCAGCTCGCAGACGCACTCCACGACATGCTCCTGGGCGGTTTCGAAAGCACGCCCTTCGCGTGTTCGAAGATGCCTCGCCCTTTCGCTTCCTGGCTTACGGCGACAAGTCACGCTGGCATGTGGCTGGCCCTTCCGGCAGGACGGCTATGACGCCTCCCCGTGTTAGTTTGTCCGTATGCTGCCTGTCACCACTGCTCACAACCACTCGCATGCTCGCGCGGGCATTGACTCTCGATGCCGTCGGTGGCGCTCGGAGAAATGAAACTGGAGAACACACGGCTTCCATCCCGGCCTTCGCCGCGGATCCCACCAGAATCGGCGCGCCGAGCCCTATCGCGGACCACTGCTTCATCCCGGCGGTGATGGGCCTCGAACGAGAAAGCCTCCCGGACGGTGCCAGACAAGATGGGGTCGGCGGGGCGCACCGCAGCGCCGATGCATCGGTGACGCGGCACGATCGCGACTACAGTCGTCCAGCGAGGCCTGCCGTCGCCTCGAACCGATCGACACCAGCAAGGAAGGGCCCAAGAAAGCCCGGAAGTGGCCCTAGAGAGGCAAGGGCAACAATACGACACCGTGTCCCAAAGCACTCTGAGCCGTTGTCGAACGCCACGGGATGTCTGGTAGGATGCCGCGAGGCTGTCTTTATTGTCCTTGCTACAAAAATATTAAGATCCCCCCCCCGGGAATTAACGGACCTCGCTTGCGTATTGCAATATACAAAAAAAGTCTGCCCCATCGTCCATCCTAGACTTGAACTCGTACCATCCCAGGCAGGCCGGTCTCGGTATATACCCCTCCTCATGCTCTGGCAGAAACTACTATGCGCGCGCACTCGTTGATCAAAGAAATCAAAGTTTCCAAGAATCCCTTGTTGAAAGCTGGTACGAAGGGCGCACACGCGCGCGTCGTCGCGCGCGCATGTCGGACTCCTTCACACACCATGCGTTTCCTAAGGATTTCATTATCGAGCGCCCCGAAAACATAACAAAACAACGCCTGGTTTCGCAATTCGATCTTCTGTAACAAAAAAATTGCGTTCGGGCTCTTGCGAGTTCTTCCTGAAATCATGTTTTTTGTGTTTTCAATATGTTCACTATTTGCTACCAAACGGGCCTCTCGCGCGCGCGTGCAAGAACTTCTCGGACGCCTTTTGCGCGCGTGCTGTCGCAAGAATCCAGTGCAACGAATGGGACGAAGTGCACACGCCCGCATCAATGCGGGAATCACTCAAGAACTTGAGGTTGCGTGAGGATTTCCAAATCGAGCGTCCTGGAAATATAAGATAACATGGTTGCCAACATCCTGCGAATTGTTGAGAACCCACGGGTTCTTTTCGACAGGTTCCATAAATGTTGCCAAACAGGCCCGTCGCGGCGCACGCCGAAATCATTCGAACACTCTTGCGCGCGTGCCTGGGGGGACCACGATCCGTGTCAAATCATACCGTGCGGGCCACTCTCGCGCGTCGGCTGCGCGCGCATGTCGAACCCCCCCAAAGCCTCCATCACCGAAACGCAGGCGCCATCATCGTCGGCGGCGTGATCAGCATCGGCGCCGTCACTGGCCTTGCCGTCGTCGATGTAATAATCATCGCCACCAGCATCGCTGCCATTATCATCGCGTCAAACGTCGTCAACGTTGCAATGACACTTACCGCGCCGGCCCAATTCGCAGACTCGCACTGATGTGTCCGCTGGGAAATGCCCAGCGGTCCGCGCCCCCGCTGCCGCGTGGGTAGCGCCAAACGAGTTGGCCGCTGCGCGCGCGAGCATGAACGGGCTAGCGCGGCCGTAGAGGTGCACTCGCCAACTCCATGCGCTCATCGCAATCGCCGCCGCATTGGTTTTGCACACCAAGTTCCGGGTGGGTGGGTGGGGTGACTGCGCGGTCGGAGGAGTGGACAATTCATTGCAATCAGTAACTTTTTTCTCTAAAGGAATATTCGGGTCTACCCACCCCCTGGTGTTACCAGTGCACCTTTTCGTGACGCAAAGTGCATACAGTTCTGCACACTCGTCCATTTTAAATGTGACTTCGTACCATATCAAGCTGGGCTGAGTTCGTGTCCTTCCTCATTTCAGCAACAAGAAACGATGCGCGCACACTCGTTTATCAAAACTCATCAGTGTCCATGAGCCCCGTGCAAAACAAAAATGACGAACTGCGCGCGCGCGTCGTCTCGCGCGCATGTCGGAACCCTTGAATATTTCAAGCTTCGCCCGGAATTCACAAGCGAGTGTCCGGAAACGGTGCCAAACACATGGATTCGCAAATCGCAAGAGGAACTGTCAAAACAAATGCGCCCGCGCTCTCGCGAATTTTTCAGACATCCATCAGCTGTTTCCCAACATTTTCAAAACTTGGAACCAAAAGGGCCTCTCGCGCGCGCGTGTCAAAATCGTTTGCGTGCCCTTGCGCGCGTTGTCGCAAGAACCCCTTGCAGAACTATCGGACGAAGTGCGCGCGCGCGTTGTCGCGCACGCGTGCCAGAATCCTTCCAAAAACGTGGCCGCGTAAGGATTTCAAAATCGAGCCCTTCGAAAACGTATAAACACACAAAATCCATGTTCACAGAATCCTGTGCCCGCGCTCTGGCGGATTCTCAGGGACACCATCGGCCTTTCAACGGTTTCATCAAATTCTGCCAAACTGGCCTTATCGCGCCACATGTCGAATTCATTCGAATGCCCTTGCGCGCGTGCAGGGAGGGGGCAAGAGCTGTGTCAAATAATGCCACGCGGGCTCCTCGCACGCGTCGGCAGCGCGCGCATGTCGACCTCCTCTAAAACTTTCGCCGCCGACGCGAAGACATCGTCATCGTTACCGGTGGGCGTGATGAGCATCAACGAAGTCAGTGGCCTTGCCCTCTTCATCGACACCATCGTCTCCATCATCGTTACTCTCAGGACCGTGTCTACTGTTGGTGTCGCCATGCTACCGCGCCCGCCCAAGTCACCGACTCGCACTGAAGTGCCCGCTGGAAAGTGCCCAGCGGCCAGCGCCACCGCGGCCGCGTCGGCAGCGCCAAACTAGCTGGCCGCCGTGCGCGCGCGCATGCGCGGGCTGGCGAGGCCGCAGAGATGCACCAGCCAACGCCAAGCACTTACTGCAGTCGCCACCACCTAGATTTAGCAACCCGAGTTCCGGGTGGGTGGGTGGGATGTTTGCAAGAGCATGGGATGTGTCAACTCGTTTGTATAATCAATTGCGCCGCATAGATTACCCCTCGTACGTTTTCGCAGCATATGAAGTACAGCGTAGATTGCAACACCTATACTGCACCACACGTGTTGCACCACAGAGTGCACCACATGGACAATCCCACGCGTATTGCAGAACATCGATTGCGTCGCATAGACAACACCACATAGTGCACGACATAGACTTCACATCCTAGATTGTGCAACATAGGTTGCAACACATATATTTGAATCATATACATATATATATATATATACACCTCTACGACCATCCTTCGGGTGATAAGGAGGCTGTGCGGGGGGGGGGGGGGGGGGGGCGAAGGGGGGGGGGAACCAACATGTGACTCAATCGATCGCACTATCGATCTCACTCAACGGGACACCACGGGACACCACGAGACGTTTGCCGATCTCAGTATCGCTCTCACTATCGATCTCACTCAACGGGACACCACGGGACACCACGGGCCACTACGGGACACCACGGGACACCGTGGGACAACTCTCGATCTCACTCGGTCCCACTATCGATCTCACTATCAATCTCACCCAGACGGGTCACTACATGACACCACCGAACACCACGGGACACCTCGGGACACCATATCGATCTCATAATCGATCTCAGTATCGATATCACGATCGATCTCACTTTTTGGGACACAACGGGACACCACGGGACACCTGTGGATCTCACTATCGATCTCACTATCGACTTCACTTTTTGAAACACCACGGGACACCTCGAGGCACCACATCGATCTCAATATCGATCTCACTATCGACCTCATCCAACGGGACACCACGGGACACCACGGGACACCACGGGACACCTGTGGATCTCACTATCGATCTCACTATCGCTCTCACTTTTTGGGACACCACGGGACACCTCGGGGCACCACATCGATCTCAGTATCGATCTCACTATCGATCCCACTATCGATCTCGCTATCAATCTCACTCAACGGGATACCACGGGACACCACGGGACCCACGGGACACCACGGGACACCGCGGGACACCGCGAGCCACCGCCGGACGGACAGACGGGCGGGCGGGCGGGGGATAATCATTTGCCTTGACTTCGCTCTAGCAACGGCGGACACCACGGGACACCACGGGACACCGCGGGACACCGCGAGCCACCGCTGGACGGACGGACGGACGGGCGGGAGGGCGGGGGAGAATCATTTGTCTCGACTTCGCCCTAACAACGTCGGAAACCACGGGACACCGCGGGACACCACGGGACACCGCGGGACACCGCGAGCCACCGCCGGACAGGCGGGAGGGGGAGAATCATTTGTCTCGCCTTCGCTCTAGCAACGGCGGACACCACGGGACACCACGGGACACCACGGGACACCGCGGGACACCGTGAGCCACCGCCGGACGGGCGGGCGGGAGGGGGAGAATCATTTGACTGGACTTCGCCCTAGCAACGGCGGGTTCATTCCTCTCGCGCGCCACGCAGCTTCGCCTCGCACGCACGCACGACACGAACGAAACGAAACGATTTCCAGGTTGGGTGTCTGCGTTCGACTGCGATCTCAACCCCCAACCTCCGATATATTGTACAAGCAAGTGTCGCTACATGTTGGTTGCACCACCTGGATTGGTTTACAAATATTGCACCACATATGTTGCTAGAAACACACTGTTTGGGGTCCGCGCTGACTGGCACACACACACACACACAACCATCGCGCGCGCTTCGCGCGCGCTCAATTTCTAGCTTGGGTCATGATCATCGTCATCATTGTCATCCTCATCCCCGTCATCTTCATTGTCATCGTCATGGTCATGGTCACCTTCACCATCACA